AATTTATAGTTTCCTGCCCGGAAATGCCTAGAATGTCAAAGCGAGTATAAGCATGTATACATATGAAACGTATAAATACACAATTTTTGACGTTGTCAAAGATTGTATAGTAATGCGTTGACGCGTTTGCTATTGCAGTTTACCACATACGAAGCGTGTTTTTTAAAGAACGAGGCAACACTATATAATAATGTATAATTAGCCTTAACGCTTTTGTCGTTGGTCTCATATATGGTTGGTGTTGTAGGTTTTATTGATATATAGCTACGTGGTTTTGAAAGAACGAGGCAACACTATATATGCACAATTAGCCATAACGCTTTTGTCGTTGGTCTGGTAGGCTTTATTGGTATATACGTGGTTTTGAAAGAACGAGGCAACACTATATATATACGCACAATTAGCCATAACGCTTTTGTCGTTGGTCTGGTAGGTTTTATTGATATATACTTGGCGGAAAGAGCGAGGCAACACTATATATGCACAAGTAGGTTAAAAATTAACACTCCCCCCCCCCATTAAACCATCATCACCATCTTACACCATATTCACCACCTGACAACAGCTGTTCAGCTGAACCATCCTACACCATCCGACACCACACTACAAGCGTCTGACAAACAAAGCATCTGACACCATCTTACACCATCTTCACCACCTGACAACCGATGGCTATATTGGACATATATGCTTAAGACAGGGCAATACGATCATTTCCAGGAAATTTAAAACGTCATGTGCTGTCGATATATTAACAAATTGAAACGGTGGTAGCGTTAGCATGGTAACCATGACGTTTTATCTTTTGCACCTTTATTGCTTAATTTCACAATCAAACGACAATATATTTTTTCTGGCCTGTAGACAGACATTACTCTCGACGAAGCGCGCGAGAGAACGTCTGTGATTTGGATGAAGATTCCTTGTTCTGGTCACGTGGATTCTAACGTGGCGCTTCGTCGAGAGTAACGTCTGTATGACTGTACACAGGCTACTTTTTTTGCTACTACTTTTTTCCTAAGATTTATGATTCATAGGAATAACATATTAAAATTTGAAGGGAAGTTTATAAAGCAGGTTTATAGTTGGCTTTTTTAGTAATTTTCACGCTGAGTTTTTGGCTTACATATATCAAACAGATATTTTTTGCTTACTTTAGATGAAAATAAAAGATATATATTCAAAATACGAAAAATTGAGAACACAATAACGCAGTCAATTAATCCAACGTTTCATAAATTTAGTTAGATGAAAATCGGTGTGAAGACTTTTCAAAACATTCAACTAGATTTGATTTTTCGTATAAGACAACTCGTAACTGTCTGCACTATAGTTATACTAGATTTAGCAGAAAAAACACTGCACGTGAATAGAGTTGAATGACAGGACTTACGTAAGTTTCGGTGACAGTTGAGGAGTACCTTGAAAATGGTATAAAATATTTCAGTTCGCGATACTATTTTTGAAAATTGTGAGCATTAAAAATACAATACTGAACGCATTAAATACGTATAAAACACACTGAAAGATAGGTTAACAACTAGTTAGCAACATACGACGTAGGGAGTCCGTGCACGCCCTTTCAATACCCTAGTGTTACTTTATTTAGGTTGATTTCTATCTCTTGATCCTTGGAGAATATTCCGTTGATCAGGCTTTCATCCATCTTGGTCCTGACGAAATTAAACTGGAACGTGTTGAAAGATGTTCTAATCTGTGGAGACATAGCGCAACGTTACGTGGTGATCCCATCAAGGACGGTTTAAAGTATAAATACAGGATTATTGAAAAGGGAGATAACTCTATATTTACTTTACTTAGTCGCATTGGAATGTCCAGCAAAGATCCCCCATGCTGTGAAGAACCTACTGATAGACCTGTAAAGGCACACACCCAGTTTGATGTATTTCATTTTCCCCAAGACAAGAAGTATGTAAGTGACACTGTTCCCAAGGCTATATTCACGTACCTGAAGTTACTGTTACCGTGTGTTAATCCTTCAACTATTTATGACCTTCTTAACCAGATCGAAAGTCTTCAATTCGTTTTGTGTGAAACAAAACATGTGAAAGAATGCGTGAATTGGATTGTGGAATATGCTTTAAACCCTTCTGTGTCGGACGTACAGCGATTGTATTTGTGTATTGTCCTGGGTCACCTGAAGTACTCTTCGTCCTCACTACCGTTTACAAACGACAACAAGACAGCTAAAGCGTGTGATCGCTTGCTTCAATGTTTAAATGAATGCGTTGATTACAATTTTCTATCGCAATCAAATCTCGAATGTTTAAAAAAGATTGCCATCAGTTTGGTAGAAAATAGTAGCAGTAAAGGATGGCTTACCCTTGCAGCACATTTTTATCCCTACCTTGGAATTGAATTTATCTTGGCTGTAAAAGATACTAGAGGGCTAATAAACTACGTATGCGATGGCAACGAATACAAGAAAATGGTTGGTGCACTCCTTTTACATATAAAGGAGAAAAATGGCAATGACCTGGTTGCCCACCAATATTTACTACATTTGGTGTTGAAACATGCTCCAACTTTGGACGATGCCTTGGAGCTATTTGAAAGTGTTGACTTCCGCTGGTTCTTTACCAATGAGGATGAAAAAGTACATTTTTTTGTCAACTATTATCAGGACACAATGCAATGTAACAACACACATGAGAAAACTGTAGGTGCGAAGTTAACTGAATTTTATAAAACTCCGAAGAAAATCCGTGGCAGAATGAATAAATATCTGTTCTCTACATTGCTTGAATTCTCCACGTCTGATGACGAGTTAAGTGGCGAACACGCTGAAATATTTCTTGAATCAATCATTTCAAGAAAATATTTGGATGGAAATCAAGTTTTTGAAGTACTCGTGGAGCTTTCCAAGTCAAAGTCTGTTCCTCGTCAAAATTTATTACTCACAATTCTAAATAACGACCTGTTTTGGCAACATTGGCGTGACGCGTCGCTCCAAAGAAAGGTGGAGATCTGTAAATCGTGGGTAATTACCAGAGTGGTCAACAAGTCGCGTACCAACAGTAGTCTTGGTGGCGTGGATAAGATTGTGGAAGTTTATGAAGCAGTCGATGCGTTAATGCGGTGTTCTTTGAACATTGGAAACAAAATTCTCGCTCAAGATGTGTGTACCTGCGTTGTGGAAGGAATTTTAAGAAATGAAGACGCTGTTTCGGTTCTTAAAGCTTGTGCTAGCATAGAGAAATATGCGGCCGTTGTCCAGGATTGCTACAAATCCCACGTAAAGATAAAATTGACACAGGCTCCAAGGATGGTGAAGAAGGCAAGCTTGTTTCTACAAGAATTTTCAAACAGCAGGTACTGCGTTATCTCTATATTTCGTTTTTACTGGTGTTTGTAAATGTCTCCGTTATAATTTGGTAAACTGTAATAATTGTCTTTTTTGTGTTATTATAATATGGCAAGCATCACTTCCAGTGAAATGGAGGACCGCCATTGGCTGAGAAGCACTTTCAGCGGTCCATTACGTAAAAACAAACGCACGCATTTTAAAACAAAACAGCAAAACTAATTGAAAATTATAATTTAATTTGTTATTAATAACATATGTGCGAATGGTTTTAAGTGGAAAAGAAGGAACACATTGGTAATTTTTGTTTTCTTCGACCAAATGTGTACCACGCTACTAATATGCATTTCAAATCATACATTTCTTGTTTGTTTCAAGTATAAATGCCATATAATAAACTTTTTATTAACCTCGCTTGCTCGGTCTTTACAGAGAAATATCGATACTTCTGGTAGACCTGGCGCTCGGTTAATAAGAAGTTATTAATGACCGAAAATCAGGCTTAATATTTTTTATTAAAAACGACGTTTCGGAATATATTCCATCATCAGGTTAAATGACTACAATATATTGCCTAAACTGTTTGCGTTAAGCTTGCGATTGTTACTCAAGGACCGTTACTTAATGCAAGCAGTTTACACAATGTATTGTAGTCTCTTAACCTGATGATGGAGTAAACTCTGAAACGTTGTTTTTAAAAATGTTAAGCCTTATTCTTGCTCATTAATAACACAAAAAAGTCTATTAATAAAATGAGGTTAAGAGAAAGTTCGATATTAAATATAATAATTGTATCTGTGTTCGTGCATCCTTCACATGGTCGTTCCAGCGGTGTGCTATATTTAACTCATTTGACATACCATCTCAACATTTAAATCGAAGATTGAAACGTGGATCCTGCTCGGAATCATAAAGTTGAGTGTAAAAGGTGAACCCGAAATTCGCAGGGTTTTAGTCCTAGTCCCGTCTAGGCGAGATCATGCATATAAGCAGACCCCGAGTATAATAGGCGTTTTTCTAAACTCAATTTTTGTGTGTTTGTTTTTGTTTACAGCCTAGGTCAAGACCTGTTGTTTTATATTGTGGATATCATTGTACCAGAAATTGCCACGGAAAGTGAGAATGATGAACGCAATTTCAGAAAAATTTTAGATTGGTGCGATATTTGGATTGTCTTGCTTACAACAACGGGTAAGCCTTTAATTACCTCATAAATTAAACATCACTATCCGTTTTCTCGTGCTAATTCGTATCCAGTCTGTTGACATCTGTGTTAAAGAGTGAGTATCATGCCAGTGATCCTTTGGGCGGTTGGCGTCCCATAAATGGCTGACTCTTGAGATTTTTATAAGTGATCTCCAAGATTTAATTTGTATTGGCCCATATTTATCGGTATCCTATTGAAAACACTCCATTTCTCCTTTTAAACATAGTAAGTACTATTTAAAACACGAGAAGGAGTGTTTTATCAGATTTAAAACGCGAGGCGCAGCCGAGCGTTTTAGATATGATAAAACGCGAGTTCGAGTGTTTTGAATGGCCTTGAATAGCTTAAAATACGACTACAAAAGAATACTAATTAGGATGAACAATTATATAATCATACTAATTAGGATGAAGAATTATATAAAGAATACTAATGAAGATGAGTTTTATCAGATATAAAGTCACTCCACGTGACATATTATGGCTTACATGATTTGCCACAAGGTTTATGAATTTTTAATGAGTATTTTAAGTCATTATATCTTGTGAAATGTTGCGTTTTTTTATGCAAAATGTTTGTAATGAAAGTATATTTATCAGATACAGCCGAATGTAAACAAAAAAATTTAATGTAAACACAAGCTTGCAAAGGATCATTGGCATGATACTCACTCTTTAAGGTCGTTATCAACCGTGTCGTACTGAAGCGTAGCGCATTTCTTTGTTTCCTGAGCACAAGAGTGGAACTAATGACTTCGACACAACAGAAAATGCTAGGATATGTTATGTTGCGATACGGTTGGAGTGGAAAACAACCTTTACACTTGTTTACTTAATTAGCTACATACCGTAAGGTAGTAATTGCTTTTATGCACGTATGTAATGAGAGTAAGCAGGTGCAAAACTTAGGTGACTTCGTTGTTATTAAGGGAAAATATATAGACTTCATATAGGGATAACAATTCAACATTCAAATTGTTATAATTGCTATAATATGTACTTACACACTTCGACTGTTAGTTGTTTGATCTTTTCCATCATGACCAATTGTTCGACAGCAGTAAATTGTTTATCATATTGCAATATATTAGTTGTTTGTAAAGTCAAAAAGCTACAGCCGGTGTCCCAGCAAATTTTCCCCTTAATTGTGGATTCAAACAATAAAGGAAGAAGGTAAATTTCTGAATGGGGGCCACATTATACCTGAGAAATTTGCTCCCTCCTGACGAGATTTCCTAGGAAATTTGGCTCGGGGCATTTGTTTTTGGAGAGAGCATATTTCCTGTTAAAACTGCTTCAAACGAAATGTATCTGATTACAAGCTCGCCGGAATAGAAATTATTGAAAATTAATAAATTAGATACTTAATAAATTATTTTTACCTATTTCAGAAACGGTGGAGAAATACAAAAAATATCGAGCTGGTAAAAAAATTTGTCACCAACTAGAAAGGTGCATTAAACATGGAAACATATCATTAAGTTTCTTAGAGGAAGTTCACAAGAAGAAGGAGAAAGTTTCAATGTTATGCGCTAGTGTGCTGAATAATTCTACGCCAAATTGTGATCTCGCAGATCTTCAGAAGCAAATTTCGGATCGAATTGATGAATTAATGCATGTTGCAGACGATTGTTACCAAAAATTTCAATTGCTAGAGTCTGCAATCAGTTATGGAAAGAAAATATCGAATAATGTTTGTACTGTTCAGGGAATCGAGTCTATTATCGAGACAATTAATGATCTGAAAGAAACCCTCCACACTAAAAGAGTATATGCATTAAAGGTAGATACGTTTTGGGGAACATTGCTTCGTCTTTTAAGCCCAGCCGAGGACCTACAACCATTAGTGAATTCAGTGTCCTTTGTGATGGTGGCTAAAAAAACCTTGAAGGAATTAAACAATTCAAGTGAAGGTGAAGATGGAAATGATGGAACAGCAGTACGCGATTTTTACTCATTGATGATATTCCTTACAAGCAAAGCGATTGAAGAATTTAAAGCGCAATGGGGTCTTGTGTTGAATGACCCGGGATCACTTAGTGTGGAGAGCATGAAGACTTTGCTTGGTACGTTGAAGGATGAAAACCAACTTGATGAAGAGCTCGAACTACTGGGAAAATACTTTAGGGGAAAGTTTTCTCTAACTATCAAAACCTACATCGAAGTCTATGTGAAATATCCAAATGTCATGGAACAAGTACGACACATCATTGGCATATTTAACATCTTTAAATTAGCAGATCTTTCAAATGAAACGATTAAAGTGCTTTCACAATTTCAGAAAAATTTAGAGAACAGTGGCAAACTCAGTCTCGCATTGTTGCGCCAATCAATGGAAAATGTGAAACAAATAGTTTCATCTTTCTCTGGAGAAAACCTAGACTGTGTGATCGAGGTGCTGTCAAGATCCACTGAATTGCTTACTTTCATGGAAGAAATTGTTGACGAAGATATTCGTTTTCTTATTGATGCCGTTGAAGAACATTCAGATCAATTTGTAACCGAGTCATCAGTTTCCGATCTTATTGACGTACATGGTTTTCTAGCACCTTTGATTAAAAAAAAAACCGAAACGAATCTTAATCCCCAGAAGTTTCTTGAGATGTTAAAAGCATCTTGTCTTGATCATGGAGATATAGCAGTGAAGATTCAGCAGTGTAGTACGAATGTTAACAGCCTTCGTGGATTGTACACGAGTATTGCAAACCGCGGCGAGGTAACTAAAGAAATCATTGGTAACTGCCTGAACAGAGGAGAATATTCAGTGTTGCAAAAAGATGGAAAATGCGAAACTAGGATGAGTTACGTGCTTAGGGGAAGCGGCGAAGAAAAAACATGTAATTACTCTTTGTCAGATCTGCATGATTTACGAAGTCGTGCGCATCTTATCGTTACCTCTAAAAAGAATAATACGACGATCCAGTACAGCCATTCGAACGAAAGCAATGAGGAAATTGATTTTGATAACTTTATAAATCAAGTTAATCTCTTGACGGAAATTACCATTCTACTGTCGAAATTACGTTCTTCTGGGTATGTCAAATATCGCCACTTTTGGATACGGATGAAAACAACCAATGATCTTCAAAGTAACAGAGACAATCTGAACAATGATCTAGAAAATTGGGAAAATATCCTGAAAAACGCACGTGAAAATTTCTACTTCCTTAACTACTACTGCTCCGATCAACTATGCACGCTGTATGACTTTTTGATGAACGAATTCGACAATAATTGTGACGAAGTTCTTACTTTAGTCCATTTTGTCGATCGTTCCATCACTAAACAACAACTACAGCAGCACCGAGAATCACAGGAGAAGTTAAAAAGATCGGATATAAACGACAGACCCGATTTATTGGTATCGACTGTTGGTCAAACGTTA